AAAATAATATTTTATAAGTATTATTTGAAAGTATACTATATAAAAAAATCACACGCAAGATCAACACTTCAGGGCATCCTGACTTTCACCACAGAGCATTTGCCAAATATAACTAGAGAAAATACCATCAAAATGAGCTACATTAAAATACTCATTCTACTTTTACATACACCATTGTTAGGAGGGAAAAAAAACATTTTTGCTACAGTAAACTATACTACATTATACTAATTACACTAACAATAGACCTACTCCTTAACAAGAGTTCTTCTGTACCAAGTGCAGTAAGAATGCTAAATACAATCATTTTTTTTTTCTCGAATGCCAATATCATAAGGCTTTATACTTTCCAAGTCTTTGGAAATTACAAATGTAGTTCATATATAGTTCACACACACAAATACATAAACAAGTGTGTGTGTCTGTTTATTTGGCTGTCCTGGTCTCAAACTCACAGAGATTCCCCTGCCTCTGCTTCCAAAGTGCTGATATTAAAGGTATGTGCCATTTTTCCTAGTCCTATATTTTTTTATGTCTAAATAAATTGCCTCCCCACCCCGTACTCAAGCAAAAGGCAAGCATTTCTATTCTAACCACATTGGGTACATGTTCCAATTCATACCCTTCAGCAAGGACAATTGGAGAATCACCCTGACCCCATTAAGCCCTTTGTGGTTCTTGAATCACAGTCACCTTTTCCCTTTCAATTGCATCTCTTCTGGCCATGGTTTCTTCTCTCAAATATTCAGGGCCACTTCTCTAACTGCATCATCATATCTGACTGAGAGCCAGACTTCACAAAGACCTTCCCGACTGAAACTCTCTGAAAAGCACCCAACAAAAGAAGTAACATATTGTAAAATCCACTTGACATTCGATTTTTTTTAAAAATTTTTAAGGTGTACGGTTTTAGATTCCTGAAATATAAAGACATTTGCCAGTCATGGAGATATAAAAATTAAATACAAAAAACAGCATACAAACTAATTTACTTTTTGTTAACATAAAAAATTAAAACTCTAAGTAATTTAGCCAATAGAAAATTTGTTTCAATATGTTTTTTCTCATTTAGATCATCAGGCAGAAAAACTGATTAAATGCAAGTTTTACTGGGGTTTCAATTGCTCACAATGTCTTGGTAGGCTAAGAGTAAAGGATTCAAGATAATTCTATACTCCATCTTTTTAAGACACAAGATTAACCAAAAGTAAATAGTAAAGAAAATATTAAATAAACATAAAGGGCCAGCTGAGTTAATGGTGTGGACATCTGGGAACTAGTACAATTGCCTCTAGCATCCTATGTGATTTCCTAGTGAGGAGGCTGCCACGGTTATGAGGGGAGTACGAAAATACGACCACAAGGTTACCAGAATGGAACACCTTGTAGAATAATTTTATGAGAGAAAAACACAAATGACTTCTGGGAATATATCAAACAAAATGACAGGAATAAACTGCAGTATTCTCAGAAGGGCAGTTCAATTTCCAATGTAAAACCACCTAGGCACTAAAAAGCTCACTGCCAGGTGAACAAGTTACAAAAGTGCTGTCTTCAAGAATGAAGTGTACAAAGCTCTATGAAAAGTTTCGGGAAGATGACTGATAGAGGGGAAAGGCAGCAGAGGAAAATGTTTCTCTCTTCAAATGAAGAAAGTATCTGAGGTCAATGAAATAAACAAGGAAGCATCCAGTCTAGTAACACAAATATTAGTTATTTCTAATGAACTCATGACAAATGTCATTTTGAGGAAAGTTACTTCTGAACCTCATAATCATAATGGTAAGTTATAAACAAAAATAAATGTAATCATCAATTTAAAAACTTTGGAATAGTCAGGTATAGAGTCATTTAATCTAAGTAGGAAAACCTTCCAGAATAGCAGGAGGAAGATGGTGACTAATGGGCAACAGAAAATGTGATTACAAGAATTGTCAAACTGGTTCAAGAGAGATCCTGCATATTTATATCCCCTGACAGGTAGAAGATATTCCACAGATTCACATCCTTCCCAATAGCTTCTTTGTCCAGACTTGTTAACTTCTGTTTCCCATGAAGAGCTTGCTATGCAGCAAGTTACCCAGCAAGCACCTTGGAGAGAAGAATGTGAACTCATCTTGTTTCCTTAAGCCTTACATGGAAACAGAGTCCAATAAATAACCAATAAATAACCAAAACTAAAAGTAAAGGGCCTGTGCATGAGCCAAAATATCCTGTTAAGGTTTTCCTTCTAAATTTCAAGTCTTTTACTCCTCCGACATCTTTCCATTCTTCTTTTCTGTCTCTTTTTGCCATATGGTCTATTAAATAAGAACATACGTTTGAACAGTATATTAAAATAACTACTAGCAAAGCATTAATTCATGATATAAATTAGTGTGTGGAAACATATTTATACACATGTTGATTCTAATAATTACAAATTTTAATTTATAAACTTAAGGTTAAGAGTGGACACTAAGAAAATGTTGAAAAATAATGAAATTAAAAAGTACTAAAGGATTTAGCCATTTGAAGCTTTATATGCCTGTTATTAGATTTTAACTGAAACTCAATGTGATTTTAAGGTGCAAGGTTTGAGTTTGTGCCAAGGGCTAATGTAAAGCCTAATACGGTCACAAGCTAAACGAAGAATTCACCTTGCAAGCCACATAATATTCTTGTTATTTACACTGAGATACACAAAGAAAGAACTAAAGATAAATTATATCATGTGACAAATCTTCTTCACTTCCTGTCAAAAATAAGTTACAACTCTGAATTAAAATACAAATAGAATAGGTAAGAAAAGTAGGTGTCCAAGGCACAGTAAAACAACTCTGTAGTGAAGCAGAAGGAATGCCACATGAAAAAAGGTCTTAGTTATAAAATAGGGTAAGTTCTACCTTCGATAGGGCTCATTCCAAGTTGAAATAAACGTATACACAAAGGCTCAATTCGTGTAGCAAAACTGAGCAACAAAGTACAGTGTTAAAGTGAGTTTAGAAGAGGCCTATATACTGAGTATATTCTGGTATACTCTGTTTTTCTTGAGTAATAAACAATACTAAGTAAAAATCAATTGTAATTGCAGAACACATACTAAACTAATTAATGAAGTCTTGGTATATATAAAAAAGTTTTACATTATAATTTACCAATTATAGGCAACATATATAATCTGTATCAACAAAATAAATATTCTCACTCTTCTTATTCGTATGATTCTTAAGTGAATTTACCTGCAGCAAGAGTTTTATAAAGTTAATGTGTTGTTCTGAAATACACTTCATAAAGAATTCAAAAGTTTCTGTTCTTCTACATAAAAGAAAGTGACTAAATAATGGTTCTTTACAGGGACATATTATATTATATATCTAAATCTAAAGTTGCTTTTATAAACTGTAGTAAAACATAAAATATTACATTCCCCTTATTAACCATTTTATGTATACTGTAAAATAATGTTGGCTACTATATGCACATTGCCTATAAGGTCAATTAGTATAGCTTTTATAGAAAGCAACATGAAGGTCCTCACATTAAGAAATTAACTATTAATGAAGTTAATTAAGAAAAGAACTATCAAATTATTCAGCAATTTCCATGTTGGGTACATAACCCAAAGAAAAAGTGGAAACAACTGGAATATCCTTTGACTGACGACTGGATAAAAAAAATTTGATACTTATATACAACAAAATAATATTCAGCCACAAAAATAAAATTCTGTCATTTGTGACAGTGTGGATTAAGCTGCATTATCTCATTGCTGTTCAATGTAAAAGTTCATCTCACACAACTTAAGAGAAGAATGTTGGTTAGCAGAAGGTAGGACAGATAACAGAGGGGGATAGGCAACAAGCGAGCTATGATTAACTACTTGAGAGGTAGGAAAACAAAGAACTGGTATGCAGTTATGCAGTAGGAAGGCCAAAGACAATAATGTATATTTCAAAATGAAGGATTCTGAGGCTTTGCCAAAAATAAAGGTTAAATGTCTAAGATATTTAACCCTGAGGTTCAAGGTTCTTATATGTATGAAAACATCATGTTACCCTGTTAATATGTAAAATGTTTGTTCCTTATGTATTTTCAAAATAAATTTAATGAAGCACAGTATTAGATATAGTACTGTAGCCTTCCTTAAGTTAGCAAACAGTTTTAACTGGGTCATGCACAGAGACCTTTGTTATTCACTGAAAGGCAAATTTTGCCTTTTAACCCTGGCAGAAATGTACCTGTTTAAAAATACTAAGGACTCAGAATAATTTTTTCTGAAAAACATCATGAATTTTTCTTTCCTACACTCTAGCATAATTGAGATGTGAATGTGTAATAGATTTTATTCCGCTCACCATCAGATTACCTTCCAAGAAACAAAGCTATATATTTAATTCTAAATATCATTCAGATCTCTGCAAATCACATCTATTCAGGGACTTGCTGATTCTCAAAGGATAGTGAAGGAGTCATCAGTGTAAATGAGTAAGAGAGACCACAGGGTCAGTAATTTGTTTTCCTTGTGAAGAATTACTGCAAAAATACTAAAAGCTTGCTGGCCAGAAGCTATGCTGTAAAGCTTCCTCTTTGTGATGGCAGCACAAAGGTGCAATAAGGCCACACATGGACACATAAGCAAGAGCAAGACTGTGGTCAACAAATGTGTGTTTACGAAAAACAGATGGCAGGCTAGATGTTCTCAGCGGGCCTTGCCTTACCAACTACTGAGACAGGTACAAGAAAGGAGGCGGAGAGGAGAGAATGGGTAGGACTAGAGAAGAACATAAAGAAAATCAAATCAAAGTGTCTGTGGGCTATCACTACTGAGAAGAAGGAGCTGCTGGGCTCACATTATCTGCTCTATTGACTAACTTTTATTGGGAAGCCTTACAAAATGAGACAAGTTTCTTTTTTCTAATGACTTGACTCAATGCTAGCTGAACTATTGGCATCCAACACATCAGCATAAATAATGAGAATATTGATCACAAGTAATTACATCATTGGGGCTGACTTACCTCAGTAATGGATGGAATATTACGGTAATATTCCTGGCTCCAGGTTTACAGACAAACTTTGTTCCTCCACCTTCAATTAAGTTGTCATCAGGACCTCCTTCAGGGAAAAATGAAAACTAAGATTTAGCTCACTGGAAGTTGTACAAATAAGTAAACCAAGCTTATCTGTATGAGTGTTGCATTGTCATAGAGGCCACCTCTTAAGTGACCCGAAGTACTTACAGTTATTGCAAATGATATGAACTAGTCTTTCTCTTCAACCACTTATGACACAATTATCCAGCAAAGAAAAAAAAAAAGGAAAGCCTAAGAAGAATAAATGGCATACGTTAAGTAATGGTTCAAAGTTATAGGATAGTTGAGGATAAAACTTTTATCTCTACTCAACAGTGTCTTGGGAAATTAGGGTAGACAGAGAAGGAAACAGTTACATTTAAAGCTTCCCAGGTTGTAAAATTTATGTAAATCCCATTTGCCAAAGTGTCACCAAGTTGAAATCTTCTGATGAAAGACATACTACTGTTCTTGTAATACTAGGAGATTGAATCCTGTTTATGAAAATATATAAATTATTAAGACCTTCATTTTATAATAGTAGAAAAATTATCTGGTGATTTAAATAAATATTTACATAAGTTTCTCAAGTACATTCAATAAGTAAATATAACAGAAATCAATTTGAGGGGAAAATCTCAGTGGTTAAAAATACCATGTGCTTCTTCTAGAGGACCTGGATTCAATTAACAGCACATGGAAGCTCTAAACCATTTCCAACTCCATGTTCAGGGGATCCAATGCTCTTTTCTGAACTCCTCGTGCACCAGAAACACAAGTAATCCACAAACATACAAGCAGGTAACACACACACAAAAATTTAAAAATAATTAAAAAGAAACTTATCAAGACAGTCTTAAAAGTCATAAAATGTATATACTTTAGCTCTTGAAATAACTCATTCAAAGCTGGCAGCATTCATGTTTTCCAGTAAGTGTCATCCTATGTCACTGAGATTTGTAACTGTCTTAAAGGAATGTTCCACATTGTGAGCAGGATTTTATTTCAAGCTGTTGACACATATTTTTAAAATGGATGTTTTCTCGATGCTATACCAAGTCTTAAAGCAGGTTTTGCAATGTCAACCACGACTTACATTCTTTTCCCAAATGGTTCTTAATTGGTAATTAGCTGAAACATCAAAGGGTTACAGTGCAGGAAGTACCTGCCACGTCATATGCTCTGAGACAATAATAATTTCCATCACTACTTTCACAGATTTAGTTGCAGAGAGTTTAGAATACAGAGAGCTACAAATAACTTTAGAAGGTGAGAGAAATGCTCTACCAGCACCAACTGCACCTCATGGGTGTTTGAGGCAAAAATTAAAAAGAAAAAAAAAACACCTATCTACCTAGCAATGTATCAAAGCAGACGCTGAGACTCATAATCAAACCTTGGGCAGAGTGCAGGGAATCATATTAAAGAAGGGGAAGTTAGTATGACCTGGAGAGGACAGGAGCTCCACAAGGACCAAATACGACTGGAAACAGGGGTATTTTCTGAGACTGTTGCTCCAACCAAGGACCATGCATGGATATAACCTAGAACCCTTGCTTGGATGTAGCTCAAGACAGCTCAGTATTCAAGTGGGTTCCCAAGTAAGGGGAACAGGAACTGTTTCTATCATGAACTCAATGGCTGGCTCTTTAACCCCCCCCCTCCAACACCGAGGGAGGAGCAGCCTTGCTAGGCCACAGAGCAGGACATTACAGCCAGTCCTGAAGAGACCTGATAAGCTAGGGTCAGATGGAAGGGGAGGAGGACCTCCCCTATCAGTGGACTTACAGAGGGGCAGGGAAGAAATGAGGGAGGGTAGGATTGGGAGGGAATAAGAGAGGGTGTGACAGCTGGGATACAAAGTAAATAAGCTCTAACTAATATAAAAACACAAAATTTTAATTAAAAAAAAAAGAAAAGAAAATAACCATCATAGTCTCTAAGACTTCCAACACCTCAAACTAGGAGAAAACACATGTGTTATTTCAACCATCCAATCTATGGTATTTTGTTATAGCAATCTTCACTAATAAAACAGATAAGCCTTTGCGAAAGAAAGAAAGAAAGAAAGAAAGAAAGAAAGAAAGAAAGAAAGAAGGAAGGAAGGAAGGAAGGAAGGAAGGAAGGAAGGAAGGAAGGAA